CCCCAAAACCCCAAAACCCCAAAACCCCAAAACCCCAGACGAGTATTAATGCGATGAAATTAAATAATTATATAAATATACTAAATATGCCAGCACGCATCTTTTTGGATTTCGAGTCTTGCAAGGAGTATTTGGAAATACAACATTACGAGGAACATAAGGTAAGCCTTGATACAGAAAAGTAAGATAGGAGGAAAACTCAAGAAGATGCTTTTATGTGGATTTAGGATAATTTAGACGTTTTAGAGTAAAAATGGATTATATGAAGCTGTGATAGATTTTGATTTTAGATATGAGAGCAAATCTTGTTAATGATTACTTTAGCCAATTCTCTTCTGTTTTCATAACTCTTAAGTATCTTTCACAAACAGATTTGGCTACTTTATACTTCTGCTAAAAAATTTGAGCTTTAGCCTTGGCTATATCAGATTCATTTAAAAAAATGTTAATTCCTATTGGTTCAGACGAGTAACGAGTATATTTGACCCAAGATTATTTTTCTAAGGAAATTAACTTACAAACATCAAAATCAATCACGCCCCGTCAAATTTAATCTAGCCATGTGGGTTTATTTCTCCACAATCCATTTTACTAAAAATCCCCCAAAATAATAAGATATCTAATGAATTCCTAGAAGATTTCATCCCTTTGTTCTATCCCTCACAGACATCTCCTTAACAATGCACCATTCCTAACAATTCTTCCAACCTGCACATATATTTTCCCTTCCTGGCAGGAGTCTCTACTATCTTCGCTAGGCTTCACAATAAAATTCGTTAATAAAATGAGCTTAACAGGAAGAAATCTCTAAAAGATTTGACGTTCAGGTGAAACATTAGTACAAGGATTTTTAAGTGAGATAGGGTCTTGGGGGTACATTTGGAGAGGGAGGTTTGACGGTTTATGTAGATGAGGGAAATTGTAGTAGTAGGCTTGGGTGGATGTGTAGTGGAAATTATCCTTCATGAAAATCTTAGTATTAGCCGGCTTTATTTTCAAACCTAAATTCTTGTTGAGAGGTCTCCATTCTAGCTCAAAAAGAAGCCCTCGAGCTTGAAAGCGATGTGTAGCTTATGCTTGGTATAGGGGCAAATGATAGAGGAAAGCAGACTTTTGGAATTAGTCATGGAAAGTTGACAGGAGATACAAGCGAAAAGAGAAGGAGATGTGGTCAGGTAGGATTGAATAGAGGAAAGGGAGCGTGAGGAGGGCTGATGGAGATAGGATTTTAGATTGATTAATTTTAAATAGCCTCTATTTCCCAACTAATCTGAAAATTGTTGAAGAAGTTATGGAACCACTCCTTAAAACGAAGGTTGAAACTAAATCTAATTCAAAAGGTAACCAAGGTAACTAAGCTCCTTAAATTTAGCAAATAACCAAAGCAAAATAAATATTATTGTCGGCCCTCAATGCTTATTTTTCGAACTTGGAAATATTTACTCTCACGATCATGAGATTATTGTCTTTTCAAACAACCAGAATTTCTTCCAGAAAGAATTTATTCAAAGACTTACCAAAAAGAGTAAATAAACAAGGGTATATTGATCTGAAACAAAGAAAAGTTGAATGATTATTTGAGGAAATTGAATCTATTAATTTAGAAAATATATCATTGAATGATCAAGAAGCTAACACTAATGCTTCCGAAAGCACAGGTGTTGAAGAGAATAAGTATCATAAATCCAGTGAAGAACCAAATGCCAGCAAAATAAGTCATGGACCAAATAAGGTCTATGGATATGAGAAATCCTCTGAAACAAACTCAACACTTGATTTCGATTATGGTAAAGATATCAAAAGTACTCTTCCTGCATTCTTAGGGAAAATTACAAACTACTTTAATAAGAAAAATGAATACGATATGATGAGTTTCTTGAAAGTACTTGATAATTTAGTTACAGAACATTTACACAAACTAGAAAAGAAATTGAGAATGACTATAAATAAGGAAGAGAAAGAACACTACTTTATTTATATTCGAGATTACCTTTGTATCAATAACATAACAACTGGTGAATCACTCAGGCAATTAGTCATGAACAGATCAAAAGTCTCAATAGAAGAACTAAAGGAAAACAATACTGTAAAAATTGACACCTCCAATATCGAAACTCTGATCTCTTATCTAAAATCAGATAGACCCAAATCTTCCCTCAAAGGCCATAAATTACTATATAAAATTGAACATTACGCTTCCATATGATATTCAATTATTCTAAATCTGTTGAGTAATGACTTCTCTAAGTCAGGTAAACCCATCACTTCAGTAAAAGGCTTGAAAAATACCATTCACCACGTGCTCAAAAGTTATTACAACAGTAAATAGAGTGAAGGAGGAGCATAAGATGATAATTAAGAATGATAAAAGATTGAAGTATATTATTTTAAACTTACTGAAAAAGAAAGGAGTCTGGGAAGAATTAGGTCAAGAAGAACTTACAATAAACCACACCGAATGAGAATCTTTCCTGAATGATTTCAAGCTTAAAGAAATGAAGGACATTTTAGTTGAAATCACCACTGATATCCAAAAGATGACAGCGAGTCAGAACTCATAGCCGAGCACTCAAAGCTAATAATTTCCTCTAAGTTGCCCTTTATACACATTCCGAGTTCACGAATACTTCTATTGACACCTTCCAAATAAAAGGCTGTATTGTTCCGTTAAAATGATCTTGAGCCTGTGCCAGGACTGGGTTTAGCTTAAGAAGGGTCCAGATTAGGGATGGCATTTTTTAATTAATACATTTTGGGGTTAGTTCTATGGTTTTAGAGAGGCTGGGGTTTTGGGGTTTTGGGGTTTTGGGGTTTTGGGG